CATATGTTCTATGGTAACACTGATCTGATTCTTTAAGATATGAATTGCCTTGGAAATGTAAACTGTTCAGAATCAGCTTTTCTGGTGGACTAAGTGAGAGACAACAGAAATTTTCAGTCTCAGTGACCAAAATGGAGAGGAGAGAGTTCATCTTCGAATTTATGGACTGTTGGATGGATAAAATCTTATTCAGGGTGACATTACATTTATTTGGAAGAAGTATAACAACTCAAGGGAATTCCTGGATTATACCTGACCCTTTAAGAGTCACACGTCTGCAGAGGAGGTCAAAGGGGACAGCTTTCTGGAGCAATGCATGTTTCTAACAGGAGAGTTTGTTCTCTCGACTCAGCAATAGTGGAGCTCGTGCAAGCTATGGGCTTATTTTCCCCTTTCTTTTTGAGTCCAAGCCTAGTAAAACACCAGTTTTAAAGTCATTCCTGATCCAAGAATGTCAGAGTTTGCTTAAATCAGGACCAAGTGTGGAATACAATACTGACCATCCCTGAGGAGTGTGACTAACCGTTGATGATGAGCCAACTGGGGTAAAACAATGAACAGCAGGATAGTCAGCCTACATTTGTTCTTTATCAAGATGAATTATCTCTTAAGAGATTAGTCTACAGAATGAAATCTAAGGACTGAGAACTTGCTGAAGGTCCATAGCATGACTCATTTAAAAACAGAATAAGTGATACTGATAGGATAGGGTTCAAATCCAGCATACAGGGAAGAATTAAGAATGACCTGATGAATCTTTGCATTTAAACTTTTTTGGTTCTTCAAACTATTTCCCTGCCACGCACCCTCCCCCCCCCTCCAAGCAACAAAGAATGGCTGTAAATGATGAGGGTATGATACATTTGCACCGCAATTATTAGAACCAGATTTACTGTAAAAAATCTGTAAACAATTTGCAAGGAATGGGTGGTCTTATCACAAACATACACCTCCAGTGTGGGGATAATGCAGTTCCAAATGGCTTGATTAACGTAGTATTTGCCTGTGTTATGTGTATGCTTTGCCCATAACGTCATGCTAGGCTATCTACTGGAGATATTATTCCTCTATCAAATCCCTTGCCTAAGAGCATGATCTTCAATCAAAAGCTTTATTAATACATAGAACAGGTGCCTGCTGTATGCCTTGTGTCCAGGACAGTCTAGAAACAGACACAAGCCGATACATTTAACATAACCTTCACCCATATCTGTTACAGATCTGTTATTCCTGGCTCAACTTTATTTCAAGAGAGATCATTACTTGAAACATGCCTTTGGCTGCAAAAGTCATTAAATATAAGTTATCCTGCCATAGGCAAGACATCTTGTGCTCAAAATTATTATAAAGTAAGACTGTATTCAGAACCCCAATCATGTAGGTATGGCAAGCCAATGTCACTCTTTAAAAGCAGAAGCTGAGACAGGATTATGTAGCTTACTGTTGAGTATGCCTTTCCTACAGAAAACAGGTAAGGAAAAAATACCTGTCATTCTGCCCTGCCCCACATTGAAAGGAAAGAGCTACTGCACTAAGGTATTGGCAACTGTCTCCTTAAGAGTTAATTTTCTTTAAAAAGTTTGAGTCTGGAATGCATGTTTACATTGTGCAATGTGCAATGCAGACCTAACATATTAAGATAAAGTATGGGAATAGTACGAGATGCTGCTCTGTTCAGCTACAGCAACAGCACTTTGTCACTAGATGTCACTCTTCCAGAAAAAATCTTTGAAGATAAATAACTAAGGGGAGGATTCTGGAATCTCCTATTAAATAAACAGAACATCTAAAGATTCCTTTTTCTTTATTATTTTAACGTTACACTAATGATCCATGATTTATTTTGCACACTGTTTTGACTTCGCATAAAAAGCTGAAATTTAACCCTTTAATTTAAACATTTTAAATTTTGATAGCTAGTCAATGGTCTCAAAGCTAGAGAGGAGAGAGTAGGCTGGGTTTAATCCATCACAGCAGCCAAGTAATGTAAACCTTTCCCACCTAGCAAAAACCTAACTTGTAAATTATATGAAGATGGAAAGACTTGCAGAACAAGTACTTCTGTCTTCATCTGTCTGATCACTAGAAGACACTTGAACATGTTCAGCCTTATCCTCCTAGAGCTATGAATTGCAAACTCCTATTAAAGTCAGTGATAGCATGAAGCTCAGCTCCTAGATGCTGAAACAGAATACTGACAGAAATATCAACTATTCATAAAAAAAGAAGCCTGCACATCTTTAAACAAACATTGTAACATTAAAATTGATATAAAGCATGAGCATTAACATTAGATAACCCATTTATATGGTTTCTATTATGCCCAGCTAAGGCTGATTTGGAATAGAAAGAAAAATTAGGAGAAGGGATTGATCTCTCTGAAGACCATATTTTGAAGCTTCCAATGGACACCCCTCCTACCTGCTTGTATTTAGGCCACCTTCCCAAGAATACACACACCTGCATCAACTTTCCTTTCTACAAAAAAAAAAAAAATCCAAAATTTTGTAGCATTTTATAACTAGAAATTTCTTCTATTCTCAAAGCTTGAAATGGTATGCTTTCTGCAGCAGGCATACAGTTCATGTAGCTATTAACTGTACTAGTTACATAGAGATGCTTAGAATAGCAGACAGCTAGAGCTGACTGTCAAAGGATTCAGCACTGAAAGTTAATTTGTCTTAAATATTTTCTTCATTTTCTCTGAAACTCCACAATTGAAAATTAGACACCATGGTACCTGGCAAACAGGACACTGATTTCTCGGACATCTCTAAGGAAAGGGAGAGATTAACAATGGAATTGGCTGCAATAGCACGACTCTGAGAGTGCACCTATATTTATGACTTTGAAGGGGTAGTTCACATAAGTAGAGTGCTGTGTTTCCTCATGCAACTGTGTCAGTGATGATGGTAAAGTTGCCATTTAAATGTTTGTGGTTTATTCTGTGACATCTCTCAAGCCACTATTGTTCCCATGCTGCCTCTCTGCCTTTAGTCTGTAGTTTCATCCCATAGAAAGGTTATGTTTTTTTTCACTGCCTGCTTCTCCCCCATTTACTCCCCTTAAAAGTCTCAGGAAACAGTAAGAAAGAGCTCTTCCACCAGCAAAAGGTGTCCATAAATACTAGCATCAACAAAAGCTCACATTTCCTCTTGGGGAGGAGACCAAGTTCTCAGAGCTTTGCTGTCTGGGCCATGAGATAACCCTAAAATGTGAACTGTGTCTCCTCCACTGCTCCTTGGGAAACTACCTGAGCACCCCTATGGTGGAAGGGTGTAGCCAGCTGGAGAAGTTTGGGAGAGACTAAAAGAGCACTATGTAGCTTCTGTATGTGCAAGGCAGGACCTGTAGGAGGCAGTAGCTGTTCCACCACTTTACTAACCCTCATGCAGAGACAGCGGACCAAACAAAAACAGCAGCAAAAAGTCGATTTCCCCCTTCTTTCCCACAGCCCATCAAGTGCAAGCTTCTGAATCTCTTTCCTTTTCAAGTGTTTATTGGTGTTTGGGAGCAGTGTGCCTTGTAGTTGTATGACAAAGTTGTTTTAAGAATAGGTTAGACAGAGATGGGATGGGTTGGTTTGGATAAGTATAATCCTGGCTTGAGAAGGGAGGTGGATTAGGTGATCCCCTGGGGTTCCTTCCAGCCATATATTTTTTATGATGTCAGCAAGATACTGATTTCTGAAAGCTAACAAGGGGCTGTTTCAAACCTAGTTTTGCAGTTCATTAAGTTCCTTATTTCACTCAGAAAAACCCACTCAAGAAAAGCCTGTTAGCTATAGCTTTTGGCCAAAAAATGAAAACCACTGAAGATATAAAACTTTTGCCAGTAATACTCTTATCTGCAAGTACAAAAATAATTCTTTTGAATATATTTTCTTAATTTCAGTTTTATTCAAAACTAACACTTCAAAGATGAATACATTCAAAGGTATAAAGCCAACTAGGAGTTGGGGTTGGGGGGAGCAATTGAAGAGCTTTGTTTTCTCCTGTTACACAAATGGGTAGGTATGAAGATGATATCTGACAGTTCTAAAAGCTTAAAAACCAGTGATGGCACTAATTTTTGTTCCTTGTTTAAGAAAACACTGCAAATGTCTTGCATTTAATTTTGAACCATTTAATGGTAATCTGGTAGGTGCTGCTTGTGCACTCTAACTGAATTTCAATTTCCACCTAGTGTTAGCTGAAAAAGTAAAATATTGATCTCGTAATAAGAAAAATGTTGTTCACCAAATATAGGTGGTGAAGAATCAGAAGTGTCAAGCACTCATACTTGGTTAAACATGTATAGAAATACTTGTCATCCTCATACTTAGCAACAAAAAAAAAATCAATTATTCTAATCAAGAAAAAAATCAACCTCTTTAGAAAGAAGATTGAAAGAAACCCACCAACTGAGAAACAAGATCAAAATTGATTATTTAAATAAAAAGTTCCTACTTGCCGACTTCCGTTATTAAATTCAATAATGGAAGTTGGGGAGGCAGCACAATTATCAGTCTTCCCTAGTTTACTCGCTATTCCATCCCCGAGCTGTGCATGTGCACACAAACATACAGGGTTGCACTGTGCTCCTGCAAGGTAAGTCAATGACATATCTAGACTCCTGGTAGCCCTGAGCAAACTTTTAGTATCTGTCCCCTCTTCACAAAAGATAATAATAATAATAATAATAATAATAATAATAATAATAAATTGGACAACAGGGAGAAAAAGTACCATTTTCATTCCCCCTTACTGTCCGGGCCCCGGGCAGATGCTTTGTTCGCCCACACCTTTGTCCGGGTCTGAGGTAGGTATACAATATAGCTTCCTCTTATGGTATATATTTGAAATATTTAAGAATACTTTTGTAAATAAATGTATTTTGAAAGTTAATGGATAGTATCATCTTGTTCCAGGAGAACCAGATTGATGCATATTTTAGATGTGCTTAATATTGTTAACTATGTGAACAGAGCTCAGCCATAAAACACGAGAATGTGTTTGCTTAGCATGCTACAGCAGAAAGTTTATTCGGTTCCATTTTGAAAATATTTGCAACTGAAATTTATTTTAGCCAACTCAGACATAAGCTTTAAAGTATAGGCTGTATATAACTCAAATACAGGTAGTACTTTTTTTATAACAATAACTTACAGGTACAAACAAATGATAAGCTACAATTTCACAAAGAGTTGTAAACATTTTGCACAATTGTCAGTCCTTTCTGTTAGGCAAAGTGCTCTTTTTGATGACAAATAAATTAACAAACACATAACTAGAGTGGACTACTTCCAGACAATACAAAAAAGGTGTTTTCAATAAGTCTTGTAAACAACATAATAGTTATTTATGCAGAATCCATAAAAGTGTCTTGCAGGCCAACTATACTTACATATCTGGGCATGGTCTTGAAAACGCTTTGGATGTTAAATTAAAAAATTAACATTAATATCTTTTCAATGATATTTTAATACACAATAAATGACTCTTGAGATTACATCCTCAATAGCTTATATCCCTGAAAGAAAGGAATTAGGTGTGACTTATTGGCAGTTGTGTCATTGAATGGGGTAGCAAGGGCTGGAGTCCAAGAGCTGTAGGTGAATGAGCTACAAAAATAGAAAGATTTACTGGTCAACCTTGTTGGAAGCAAAAAATATTTGCAAACAAAAACAAACCAAAAAAAATTCATACCACCCCATACACCACTGTAGTATTTGGACCAGACCAGCAAATTGCAATATTTTCACTAGTACAGTTAAATAAGGAGTTTAGCCACTCTGAAGCACAGTGTTACAGTCATTTCTAACCCTTCATTCTGGAGCACAATAAATTAGTGCCAGCTCCATCTATACCCCATTCAGGCACATTATAATGCAGTTTTGGAAGAAAGTTAACTGGGACCCTGTCTGCAACTACAGCTACAATTGTATCAAGGAACCCAATTACAACAGTCATAGGCGATGCATGGGGGGCACGTGCCCCCTCTGAGATTGGCCCTTGCCAGCTGGGGAGTGGGGGGCAACTGCCAGTGTCCCCCCTGAGATTGTGGGGGTGCCAATAGAAGTGCTGCCAGCAATCTGCCGCTGGGGGACTGCCTTCCCTCCCGGTCAGTGATCAGCTGCTGGTGCCCCCCCCACTATCAGGAGGCACCAGTGCCCAGGACAACAGTTATTCTCTAACCTAGTTACAAACATGGTTCAGACCTGTAATGTGGGCTTCAATGTGGTTGCAAAACACAGCTAATTTCCAGTCTGTATTATGAACCAGAACTAAATTTTGGATATCTGGTTATGAAACAACTATGCAGTAAGTCAGCTCTCCAGCATGACTGTGGGAAGAACCCTGGTCTGCAGGAAATTGCTAGATCTTTTATCAATTTCTACTAATCCCTTCAATGCTTGGTATACAAGTCTCAACAGAACAGTATATCTAAAAAACTCTGACTTTGGGAGATTAAAAAAAAAAAAAAATTGCAAACTGTTTTCTTTTAAAGTTACCTTAAAAGTTAGTAAGAATTACATTTCTACAATGAACTGCAAAAAGTGAAGTGTTAAATATACAATTTCTTATCTCTAGCATCCATAGTATGGAGAAAGTACATTCATCTTAACCAAATTTGTAGCTATGCTTTACAGCAAAGATACTAAGACACTCACCTCTTAAATGAAGTGTAGATAGCAGCTAAAGTACTAAGAAGTTTCATACAATGAATACTGGGAATAAGAAATTGAATAAATGTATTTACTATTCATCAACTGGTAACTATTCTTGCTGCAGCTCATAAAGCCTCCTTCATCTTATTCTCAGACTTACAAAGAATTACAGTAAGTTATTGTACCTACCATCCATATAACTATGTAGAGCAGTTAACATAGTCCCATCTTGGGGTACATATGCAGAGTATGCCATTTCTTCTAACATTGGTGGAGACAGCCTAGATGGTTGAACTGCTGTGACAGGAGCAGTAGATGAGTGATTAGGACTAACATGTTTCTTATGACGTGCTCTACAGTTTTGAAACCACACCTGCAAAGGGGGAAAAAAGTTGCATCATGTTGATTCACTGCATTTATTTTGATATGCCAATATGATAAAACCCTTGGTTTTAATTTAAGTTTAAGTTTAGTGTCAGAGTATATAGGTTCTTAAATGGAACAGTCAAAAATAGGTCAAAGCACACATGCTATGGTGAGCTAGATAGTTGAGGCATACCAAATTCTGTCACTAGTGGTGCACAAGGGACTGAAGTGGTAAGTGTCACATCCTGTCACCTTTGATTTTGTGGCCTGAATGACTCTGGTATCCATTTACAGCTGGGTTGACTGGGGACAGCTTTCAGTGAAAAGTCCAGAGTGAGACTCTCCCCCTCTCAACTCTGGATCTGTAGCAAGATACCTCAAATGCTCTACTGCTGTGCCCCAAAATTGTTGAAAGGAAGGTCAAAATATCCTCTGATTCCAGTTTTATTTCTTGTAATCTGTAACAGACTGGCCTCCATCCTTTGAAATGTGGTCCCATTAGCCAGGGGCTTCAATTTACAGACATATTCTGTCAAACTTTTAGGCTATGGATAAGATAAGAGAAAGTCAGGGTAGGATAATAGTAATCATATTGAATGCGAAGGGCTTCCAGCCAAAATTTTGATTCTGTGTTTGAGCTAGAGTTTTGGATGGATTTGTGGATTAAGGTATCTCTAGATAAGTTAACAAATAGCCACAAAACGTTAATATTTTTACAGCGTGAATTTGGTGCACAATTTTGGAAAGTAGATAAATGTGATTAAACCTTGCTTTAAAAAAAAGAAGCAATTTCCTGATTTTCTTTTTTAAATAAGTTTTGATGCATAGGACATACAGTAAAGATATATTTTTAAAAGACAACAGTTTTAGGTGCTTATGTTGTATCCTCCCTCCCTGGTCTAACAAATATGAATGTTCTAATTCTATCCCTGACTCAGGAAGTTTGACCTGGAGTTACACTTAAACCACTGTATAGATCTTTTTCCAAAAGAAGAATTTACATCCAGTAAGAAAATTAAGTTATGGCAAGTTCTTATGGAAGTCGCAGACCTAGAATTAAGTAAGCAATTTAGTACAGTCACCTGTATCACACGCCTGCTCAAGCCTGTTCTTTCTGCCAGTTTTTGTAGGGTCTGTGCATCTGGATTGTTGTCCTGAGCAAACTGTGCTTGCATAACCTGAAAAGATAAGATTTTTAATTGATGTGCTCATAAAGCTTCTTGGTCAATTTCAGAGGATAATGCTTATATCAATTAGTTGTTCAAACATGCTGTCCCAGTACATCATTAAAAAGGGGGGAAAAATTATCTTCTGATATTGTCTCTTACTCTGATAAAAAGTGGCCACATTCAGAAACTTAGCTTTATTCTGTTTTGTACTAGTCAGTGAGGGAAAAGAAATTCAGTTATGATTTCACTAGAGGGGGATTATGGAAGAGAATTCATTGCAGACTAATCCAAATATGGTTGATTAAGAAAATGTCTATAGCTCCAGACCACTTAATACACAATGGGGGCAAGGAATGAACTTTCAGTTTGACAGGTTCAAAGAGACCAGTCAATCAATCTCAGTCTGTATTCTAAAGAGGATCCCCACTTAATCCTTTTCCAGCTGCCCTGAAATATGCATGTAATTTTGAGGCCCTGAGTTTGCCACATTTACCTTTAATCCATCTCTGAATGACATGCAGGCTATAAACTGTTCCTGCCACTGCTTAAGATTAACATGATGTTAAGGACTCCATAGTGCAACACTTTTTATGGAAACTTATTTATCATAAAATAATGGCCATTTTGTAGATGCAGATATCAATTTAATCTGTATTATAATCAAATTCAGACCAATCCCTTCAGCATCTTGAACTAAAAAACTTGAATTTTTACTTTCTTCCCTATGCTGCTGTGTTAGTCTGCAAACTAGTTTGCTGCTGTGTATGAGTTATTTGCCAGCAACTGAAACAGTCCATTTCTGGGGTAGAATGCTGCTACTTCTTAACGATATGCAGCCACACTATCTGGGGTCCCATCAGATGAAAGGCATTATTACAGCCTGAAAGAATATTTCTTATTTAAGGCCTGTAATAGTTTTAATTTTGTGGCTTTTTGCTGCAAATTCTGTGCCAATAATTTTAGATTCTCTTATTTCTGTGTTTTGGGGAACCAAGTGAAGCAATCTATCCTTCAATCATTTGCAGGTTTGCAAATTTTGTTTTAATGTGAACCAAACTGGAGCATCTCACAGAGCACTAACTACCCCAGTCATGCACAATATACCTTTCCCTCTTGTATTTATAATCCCTGTACATTGAAAAGCTTGGACATTCTTTTGTTTAAGTAGTGACTTTTGGACTCCTATCTTGATATTCATTCTGTCCTCCCCTTTCCATGGGTTCCACTTCACCTAGCTGAAAATAAACAGAACCTCTACCCTACTGCAATCTCACTCCCTATGCAAACATTTGTAAATGTGTTAGAGGGCATGGTACTGCCAGAAAACCCACTTCTGTTTCTAAGATGTAAAATGGTACAACTCTAAGTTGGAAGCAGTCCAAACTAGGGGTGTTTCTCTTCTTCCAGCTGTGCAGTTCTCAGGGGAGGGGAAAAAGTCTGTTGGTTTTGTTTCTACAAGATGCTCATACAGAACTTTGGGGGTTTTTTTTCTTTTGAGATTCAGGACATTCTTTAAAGAGAACCACCTCTTTTACTGCATTGTATAACCCATGAATACTGCCTGACCTTCTCTGGTCCAGAGCTTTGGATGCAACTGGCTGTCCACTCCATTTGCTCCTCCTTAGGAGCTATAATTTCTTCAAAATTTAGTTTTACCATAACTTTTCAGGAGTTGTTGTCACTCCCACACTTTTTCTTCAGCTGTTTCATAGGCTAATGCAATAAGTTTCATTTCCTTTACAAAGTTGATTTAGCCCATTTACTATATTTGATGTTTTACATCAGCAACTGCTTTCTCTTAACTGGAAGCCCATTCTGTTGCTATAATTTTCATATGGGAAAAATTAGTCTCTTACTTGTTAATCGAGTTTCTCCAAGTCCCAATATGCCAGCCCATATAGTGGGTATAAGTCCTCCTACCAGCAGATGGAAACATGAAAAAAAATAAAGCTCTTGTGGAGTCAAAGTTTGTACAGTGCTTTGAATATAGAGCACTATGAGGTGTGCATTAGCTGCTTTTACATAAAAGTAACTTGGTAGCTGGATGAACCTATTCAGATTTCCTGAGCATTAAATTTGTATTCAGCTTATGCCAAATGTCCATAAAAAATTAAAGGAGGACCTGATTTCCATATTACCAAAACAAGACATGACAGGGTGGGATGCTTAGGCTGAGACTGCCACCTCAGTTCTCATTGATTTCCTGCCCTTTGAGAATTTGAAAGCCTCTTTGAATTCCAAAGCAGATATGTATTTGTGGATACAACTAAAGAACAGATGTCTTGGTTACCAAATAGAAAAATCTTAGCCTTCCATAAATCATTCGCTAAAGAAGTTTCCCCATGTCAGTTTGCAAGTAATATAAAGGTATGTAACATGTGCAGGTAGTAGTTTCTCATATTTCTGGGAGAGAGGCATTACTCCTGTTCCCAGAGAGGTACTTAAATTATTCTGAACAAGCAGATGGAACTACCCAAACTTGTCTCTGTACGCTGCTTTAATGTGGTTTCAAATCAAAGATCACAATGAAGCATGATGATAGCAGCTGTGAATGCCCCAAAGACAGATATGAGCTGGAGTTAAATTTAGAAAGGATAGATTCTGCCCACATTATTTTGAGGGTGCAAACAAGCTTCATGAATCAAGAGGAAAGGCTAGAGACAGGCAACTATAATGTAGACCAAATTGAGTCCCAGATCACAAGGTTCCATGCGGAAAGGAAGATGATTTAAGAAAGTTGCATTAACTCCCGAGTCCAAGAACCCCTAGATAAATATGCAGTCTGTAGGGCAATACCATATTTAAGCTGTAGTTCCCTAGAAGCTTCTGCCCACCCAGGTGAAAGGCAAAGAGATACAAGATTGAATCTATAGCAAAAATTATTCAGTTCTAAATCTAACAGGCTCTGGAAAAGTTTGTTGTTTTTTTGTTTTTTTCAGTCATCCTGTAAAACTAAGATACCATTAATTAATTAAAGTTGGATAGGATAGGAGTTAAGTTTTCTTCTGTGGTAAATCAACAGAAAGTCTAATTGGTACATGCCAATTCCCTTGGTTCAATCTGGTTTAGCAGCTGCTTTGGATTGGAGTCTCTCCACAACTTGGGCTAAAAAACACACACAACAGACAACTGGTTTGATGCAATGCTAATTAGACTGGGATACCAGTCGCATCTAAACAGGTCTGTCCCAGCTGTTTACACAGGAGGTTTAAATGGCAATTAAGTCAAATTAGCTGTCATTGTTCCAAGACAAGGGTTAATTCAAATAATTCACAGGTATTTAATAGGAGACAATGGGCTTGTCAGTCTATAAGGTCTGGGGTTTGCTGCAATACAAGAGGCTCAAGGAGATGAAACTATTGTCCATTTTTAGCATAGACAGCAGAGAAGGTAGGACTCTCGGGCCCCAGTCTCATTAGTCTTCATCCCAACTTCCTCTTTGATGTCTCCTCCAGATTATTGCTAAAATACTCTGCATCTATGCCTTCTCCATCAGTGGCTAAAGTGGCAATGGAGATTCTGACCTCCGATTGAGAACACTCTCCAACAGCCAGCCATGTGATACATTATGAATTAAGTGCCCAGTTTCTTTCATTACTCTGTCCATCTTTATTACTGCCCAAGAGGTCGGTCACCTAGTGAATGTTTCGTTTTATTGTTAAGGAATAAGAACATGCCAACCAAACAGAGTTCAAGGTGAGGCAACAGAGAAACCAAAAGTTAGTCGCATGTGAATGAAAGCTTATCTATAACACTGCCAAGCTATATAAATTGAGGGCATCCTGCCCTAAGCCCAAGGGGAATACATTAGACTGTAACAGTTGAGTACTAGCTAGGAACTGAACTGGACATTCAGTTTTAGAATTAGATCCTGCAAAAAGATGGTCTTGTTGACCCAAGTATCACACACTAATTAACAAGAATGCTACCCTCTCACTAGGGCATGTGCTCATTATTCTACCTGTATCATCAAGGTCTGGGAGAATAAAATCTCTCTTTCCTAAGAGACCACCAGAACTACCATTTTGTCTTGGGGAAAGTACAAGGCCTTAAATATCCAGTCTTGATCAAGAATGAAAGACTGAAGAAAACAGTTACACTATGTAAATGGGGACATGTAGAAAGAATAAAATGTAGAAATAATTAAGTTAGGCCCCCCTCTGCCTAGCCTATAAGACTTGGAGTCTTTAAATGCATGGTCTGAAGCTATGTTTGGTGGTGAAGCTGAAACTGGTCATACATTTCAGTCTCTGAAAGATAAACCAAGATTCTCTGTAAAGTTCTAAAATAATTTATGATAGAAAATGGTTTATTTTCAGGAAAGACAGTGATGCTTGGGTGATTTGATATCAGAAGAGAGACCTGGTCCAAAGCTAGAAATCCAGAACAAGACAATCCTGATATGGAAGGAAGCCATGAGTAACAGAGCAGGTTCAGCCAGCCAACTCCCTTTAGAACAGACCTGACCTCACAAGAGTTTCAATTCAACATCCCAAAACATGCATAATGCCTCACATGAGTTCTTGCTTGCAGGAAGAAACATATCCAGTGACTGAGCTGGTGAAGAGGGACATGAGAAAAAATACTTTAGCACTATGCCTTGAAACAAAATGCAAACAGTGGTAGTGAGCCTCTTGGTGCTGACACTTTAAATGCTATGAAAATGAATTTATATCTACCCCACTCAACCCAACCCTGCAGGAGGTACTTCCTAAAAACAGGAAGCTTGAATATTCAAGCTAATATTCTGAAAATTAAAGTCAATGCTACACTCAGTTACAGTGGCTAACATAAATTTCAATGGATAGAAACAAGATTTGAACAGTTCAGAAAAAAAGTCAGGTCATTCAGGACAGGAGGTGAGGGGCAAGGAATATTCACTTGATAGCTTTCCTTATTGCCATTTATATAACGTATAGAACAGTCATTTTGGTTGCACATAAGCATACCAAGAATACTTTTGCCTTTCCTTCTCCAAGGACATAATCAACCTTTAGCAGAAAATTGTACAATTATACTCCTTCTGCACCCTCCTGGATAAAATAAGGAAGGGTCATTTGATTGGAGTCAACCTGGGGGTTCCTGTTTATGCTGATGTGAACATAATACTTCCCAATTCTGAAGACACACAACCTTGATTGTCATTAAAGGGCTGATTGTGGAGTTCTAATGAAATCTAAAACTCCAACCAACTAGTGTCCTAAGGAGCCACATGTAATAGATTTCCATAGCATCTCTCTTCATATTACATAGTTCTGAAAGTTCTTCATCTTTACATGTAATTACAGTAGTGACGTAAATGTCTGATGAAATTTATTTAATCAAGCAGCCAAAATAGATCAACATTTCGGTTTCCATTTTGCAGCATATACCAGCTGCCCCCAGGGAAATAAAAAGCTTGAAGACTAACTAACTACTCCATATTAAATTGCTAAAGCTAACAAAATATTGCAGGAACATGCTGTCTTGATAATTTATCCAATTTACGGCATACACAACAATGTTTATATGCATCTAGTTTTAACAGTTGGTTTCAAATGGTTACAGTGCTGCCTCTACCTGGAGTTGATCTGCTGTGAAGCTGGTCCGAGCTCTTTTTGCTGGTTTTGGATGATTAACATCTTGTTCTGTTAATAATGCTCCTTCCACATTAATCCCATTCCCTGACAAGTTTTAAAAGAGTCTGTTAATAATTCAAGCTAATATTAGTTAGCAAGTCACACTATTCTGAAATAGGTTTCCTAAATTTGTTAGTCTTTGATATTATTTACCTATCTATCTGAATAAGATTTGCTTTGTTTTCTTCAGAAGTATAGAAAGCAAGTTGAATGTACAAGAATACAAGCAAATGCATCAAATCATGTGAGCAACATTTAGTTCGCATACATACAGCTCTAGCCTTAAAGCTAGAGAATTGCTCTCAAGGAAGCCGAAATAAAGCAACAATGGCAAATGATATTTAATACCAAAAGAGAATATTACCATTTTCAACTTCTCTTTTTAGGTTGTCCAACATACAGTCGTAGTGTATTCTACAAAGGACTTTCTCTTCAACCAAAGCAAACTCCTCCCCAGTGGAAAGCTGTCTTTTGCAGGAGAAGCAGGCAAAGCATGCCAAGTGATACACATTTCCTTTAGCCCTTCGGACCCAGTCAGTAGAATGGATGTGTCTACCGCAGCGTGAACAACGGGTTCCATACCGTCTACAACAGGGGTAAACAAAAGGATAAATCACAGAAGCAAGTCATTTTAGACTAAACTGTCACTCTGGGAAAATTAGTGGCAAGCTGATGAAGAAAAGTAGTTAGAATTTAAAGTGTACTGATCATATTCATAGTCAGAGGACTGTCACATTTACATTTACAGAAACAGTTAAGAATTTGCACCTGGTGGTTTTAAGAACAGACCACTGCTCATTTAAAGAGTTTAAATTTTGCCTTCTGTCTTCAGGAAGGTATTAGTCATCCAATTACTAAAGTGAATTCACAGATATCCAGTCCCCAACCCTCACTTTCTAAAGCTCTTTTTCTAATGGATTGTCAGCTGTCTCCTTGTGCTATTGACCCCGTGTTCTATGACCCTGCAATTATTCAAACATTATTTCATGTTGACAAAGTAGCTTGGTAGCCCAAACTCTTGTATTTAACTATACGATTTCTTTAACAACTAACCAAAGATTAAAGCAGAGAATTTCCAGAGGGAGAGAAACTAGACTTCAGGAAATAAACCAGGAGAAAGAAAAACAAAAACATGTAGTTGCTGTACTTTCTTCTTATCTTTAAGAGAAATTTAAATACCCAGGTACGTTTGCAATGCTGGGAACATGTTTCCCTGTGAGAATGTGACTATAGTTTCAAGAACAACACAATGACTAGGATACTTCCATGACATACAAGCATACATTCTGGAAAATCTTGAACATAAATTTAGGATTTTGAATTCAGCTTAAGGTACCTGAGTAAACAGCTCATTCTTACAAGAGGTTGAATACCTATCAGTCCCTTCACTTAAAAACATGAACCCACCAAGAGCAAAACTTAGCTTAATCTAATTTCTTTTGGTATTAGTACTCTGATAATTGATCGTGGGCAGTTTAGCTACCCGTGTTGAATCTCCCCTACCACTTTAGGGTTTGGGGCGAAATCCTGACAGTGCTCTCTCACACTGGCAAGATTCCCACCAATTTTGGATGGGGGGGGCATAACTTCACCTTTTATTTGTCAGTTTCAGAAGCCCCGCGGCTCTTTTTGATGCCAGTAATGGTTAACAGATTCTCTCTCGCATAAGATCCTATTCCAATTGTGTGCTGACTGTTACAAAAGTAACAGTATGTACACAGATACATAATTATTGGAATGTTCTGTTTACAGGTTTTGTGGAGACTTAAGAAGCAGATCAGGTTTTGTAATACTTTGAGGTGATACCTTAAGTCTTGTGTTATAAGCAGTCACATTCAGTCTGGCTTGGAATGGAATTCTGCAGCTCTACTTTATAGACTTGAACTAGAACTATTTAAAGGAGACTATTCCCATGTGATGACTCTAAGGTCTGTTGTTATAACGGTCTTGCATTGCATTGCTGAGGCCAGCCGAGGGTTTAATTCCCTCTTGGGTCTCATAACTGAGAGATCCATTCAGTAATATTCTGCAATCATGATGCATTGTGCAAATATCCCTCCCCCCAACCAAATCAAAAGTTGTGTAATTATATTTAAATGAATTATCTGGTGTTTCCACAATTTCTTTTCAAGAAAATTATGGTTCAGTTATTTGGGAGTTGCTGAAAATAAGTCTAGAAGGTGAAGGACCAGCTAGTGCAACTTTTACTTACAGCCTAATAGAAAGTGTCACATTGGCTAGCCATTTTTTAAACTTGTGAGCGATATACCTGAAATAATCAAGTTTGCAGAAGATGTCTTTATCTTTGATATAGCAGCTGGTATGCCTTCCTAAAGAAGTTCTGCAAACACTGCACGAGAGACAGCGTACATGCCAGCACAGATCATTTACCTGGAATAAAAAAAATATATATATATAAATATGGTAGTACATACCTAGAACTATTTTTGAGTTCCAAAACCCAAGTTTTCCCATACACACAATACAGACTGCATATACCATATAATGGTTACAAAAAGAAACAAACCAAACCCCTACATTTCTTTAATGCAACACACATCCTCATGTTTTATAGAACATCATGCAGAATTAAACACGTCAAGTTAAGTGATTGTACCAAAGACTTCTATTATTTGCAATTAAGATATGGTAATGGAAAACAGAACCCTCTTCAGTCTTTTTTGTCTAATTCTGCTCTCTCACCAGTAGAGTAGCAGAGAAAAAGCTGCTTTCAGATAACCTTGCATAATCACTTAACTTTTTCTGTTACCCTGTCTGCAAAAACCAGCACCACCACACCCATAGTACATACCTACCAAAAATTGGGAAACTTAACTGATTTGCAAGTTGTTTTGAGATTTAAGTGCTATAAGGGCAAAGATCTCTTTGGCAAATAAAACAAGCCATGCATTACACCCTAACTGTATCAAATGAGTCTTCAACTCTTATAAAACACTGTTTTTCAAAGTCGTTTGTGATTTAAAGCCCCCCCGCAACATTTCATTCCGCTTCAGTAGTTTCCGATACAAGATCCACACGTTTACCTTTGTGCAGGAAAGTAGCAGTATCCTGTCAATTTTGAAAGACTGTCTGTAGTATTTTCACAACAAGCTGCATACCTTGTTACTATGTTCAATTACTATTATTTGATAAAAGGCAGTGCATATTTCCCATCCTTTGCTTGCAAATGCAGAGTGCCTTAGATGAGTTTGTGTGTTCAAGAGTCAACATTTGAATATTAACAACTCCAACTAAAAACAAAGCTTAATCCCATGTTTTAGCAAAAGAAACAAAAATGCCAACTAAATAACAAGCTAGTTTTGATTTTTTTTTTGTTTGGAATCAAGTTCTAATCTCCCGTATGCCAAACAATAAGATGATTAATGCCTGCCCACTTATGCAATGAAATAGCAGAATTTTGAGAAGCAAGTAATGTACCCTTTAAGGGAAAAGAAAAAAAAAGGGGGGGGGGGGAAAAAAAATGTAAAATGCTGCCAGAACAGCCACATATTTGTTAGTTGCATCAGAGATTAATTATGTATCCATACAAAGGCTGGTTTCAAGGAAAAATACTGCAGCCTAATATATAAAGTCAACAGTTGTATACAGTCTGGTATTCTTAAATATACTGTTATTATAGTAGCTGCTTTTGATGCTTTTTTAAATGACAGTCTGAACCTACAGGTTTACTAGTACATCCCAATTTAATACTAATCCACATCTCAGAAAAGCTTCCATGGTAGGAAACTATCCTGTTAATAGTTGTCAGCAACTGAACCTCTCAAGCAACAGTGAAAGTGAGCAAACCATTAGAGAGAGGGTTCAACCAAGATGATTTTGTCCCAAGTCTCAAAAGCAGTCTGCTCTAACATTTGCTAATTACTTTCCACCTTTGCTAATGCTGTTTTTGCTTTACCAGTGTTAGCAACATTGAGAACAAGCCACCATTGCTAAACCCCATATCGCATGAAATTCCTCAGAACAAATGTAATCAATGTTATGCTTAAAACACTGGCAACAGTCCCTACATAGATCACTGTTGAGATTTTATTATTCTTAACCTACTATTATGAAAAAGTTTACCATTCTATTTATAGTCCTCTATATGGTGTTGTCCTACTTAATCATTTAGTAAACACTGGAAATGATGCCAGCAATCACTGTAGGTAGGGAGGAGATAAATTTGAGTAGATTATAACTCATTAAAACCATCTAGCCTTTACTGCAAAAAGCATTATCCTTATTTTTCAGCTATAGGAAACCAAGGGCTAGGAGCATTAAATGACTTGCCCAGCATGTCATAAAGGAGTCTGTAGGATCAGAATCCAGGTTTACTAAGTCTAACTCCTAGTTGTACTATGATCTATTAGAGGCACTCCACCTTTCTATTGCAAAGAAATGCAGCAAAGTTAATTTTCCATTTACTTTCCCTCCCCTTAAAACTCATAAATGAGTTGTGTGGCCTATATGCTACCCATTCCTGTACCTTCATTCACAATACTTCTTGAATTAAAGAGCAGGAGAAAAGTTATCAATGTTGAAGAATTGCACAATTTATCATGAGTCCTAGTATATGTAATGATTCACACATGACAGACATCTTATGGAGTCAAATGACTTTCATTTTTAGTGAAAAGTAAGATTCCTGCCTCATGCTTGCAGAGAAAAGCCGGAAAATTTGGTCCAAGCAGACTCTAAATGCTCTAAGCCAGAAGGCAAAAGGAAAGAAACCTTGAATTTATCTTAAAAGATACCCTGGTTTTCAGAGATCAAGATTTTTTTTTAAAGGCTGGAGATGGAAAAGGAGCCATGTAATGACAGAGGAGTACTGTCAATTCACATACTCCCCCAACAAAAATGACTTATTGCTGTAGTAAAAGAACACTTCAGAAAACGTATTTTGCCTTTAGAATGACACATTATGCTAAAAATGTTCATTAGCCACAACCTGTTAAGTACTAAAGTAATCAGTAGCTCACAGAACAGGAAGCAGAAACTGCCTGTTCCTTGAGAGTTTACAATCTTATTTTTTAACCCAAAATGTTTCTAAGGCCATATTTTTGAAATCTTGAAGAGACTCTTTAGGACACTCTCAAGGTAATATTAATAATTCAGCTTTCTGCCAAAAGCCCTGATCTTGCTAATATTTATGCTGAATTTTACATGTTAATAGAACCATTGTGAGCAAAAATACACACTCATCTGAAGCAAAGCACATGCAGGACCAGGAAAGACGACAGTGAAACAGAATACCAGGGCTGCCCATTTTTTTCCGGAGTGGATGGGGAACAATTCCAAGGAACAAGCATCAAGAATGAAGCAAATTTCATCTGACAGAATTAATTCATAATGCAGGCACAGTGCACAGAACTTACCTGTCTATAAAGCTTCCTCATAAAGCCATTTTCAATCACAACTAGCCAACATATTTTAATGCATTAAGCCTGCTTTGAATTTATGCTCTTACATTTTAAAGCACTGCTCAAAATATTTCAGCTAACATTTTGAAAACACGCTATGGTGAGCAATATCAGTGTACCTCAGTAGAGATAGCTGATCCTCTACCAAAAGAGGATAATATTTTATATATTATCGCATGATATTTTATTACGTGAACATATAATTAAAACACCAAGGCGTTCAGATTGTTTCATGAAGAAGTCAACTTAAAACTGGTTCAGGGTCAGTGTGTACCTTGGACCATGTTATCACATATTACTCATAAGCTATGAGGTGCTCTTAGCAGAGGAGCTCGCTGAACAGTGCAGGAGGGTATATTATTCCCCATAACCCAGCTGTTCGAAGGAGGAACAACACTATAATGTAAGTGTCCTAGTAGATGTGGTGTAAGCCAAACCTGCAAATTACTCTGTGCATAAATACGGTGGCTTGTGAAGCGATTATTCTGCACTGCACCAATTAGTCACGCTGAAATTAAGGTGAACGATCAATTTTCCATGGTACTTTCGTTAGGGAAATAAAGTGCTCCTAGAGATCCCGGCTCTCTCCATCCGGGCAGTTCCAGAAGTCGGCGACCCAGCGGTGCCAGCGCAGCGGCAGAGAGCCCAGCTTGCTTGGCGGGCCCCACGCAGACATCCCCGGGCTGGCGGCTGGGAGGCAGCGGCTGTCCGACGCCGCCCGGGGGTGAAGTTCCGGCCGCGGCTTCCCCGCAGGTGCGATCACTTGGGCGAGACGCTGCCGGGCGGCGCGGGGCTGAAGCGGAGGGGACCGGCTCGGAGGTCTCCAGCGCGGCGGCTGCGACGTCGGGCCTCGCGGCAAGCGGGAGAGATGCGAGCGGCCGGGAGGAGGCCCGGG